AAGGGTCCTGATTCATAGAAGGCGGCAATAATCTTAACAATGGGAAAGATTGTTAAGAGCATTAAAGCAGTGTGCATCACCTTTGACTAGTATGTGTATGAGCTGCAGCTCCCAGAGAGCTGTTGAATACCGCCATAGTTTCATATTATTATCACATTGCAAACTCACCTGACTGAAAGTTGGCTTGTTGTGCAAACGAGAACATCTATCTCCATGACGACAGGCTCCAATTTTAAAATAAAATGAACAGTTGACCCTGTTACAAGAGGACACATCTGCTCAGTACAGCATTCAGTCACAGCATAACATTTAATCTCAGTGCTTCCTAATTTGAATGAGAATTATTCTCCATATGATTCCCTTTTTCAGTTAATAGACTGTTACTTCTATATATGACTCCACAAAGTTAGAAACTGCTCCAAATTTTACTTTAATACAAGGCCAAATAATGCCCAAGGGTCTGCCTTGCTGATGTATCTCACTCGGACATGTGACATTGAATGAGAAGCAGCTCAACCGCTGTAGCTCTGACAGGTTTGAGCAGCAAGAACTGCAGAAATTGCAATATTTGGGGTGAAGCACTGCTCTAAATGCAAGCTGCCAATTTAAAAGCATAATTTATCATCTAATTAGAATTCTGAGACACTGAAAAGAAATTCCAGATCCCAGATTCACCATGACCTCCAAGATTAATAAATACGGGATAAAGTATTGCCTGAGAGCAGCTCTTGTACTTTAAGTTAGGAAAATGGAGTCAAATCATACAGTGTATTCAAATATACACACAAACTAATTTAGACTTTATTACATGCCCTCTTACTTTGATGCTAGCCATTACCTTACCATTTGTTCCTCTAGTGGAGTCTCTCTTCCAATTTATTATGCACCAAAATACTTCAATAGAGAGAGACTGTGGAATACATACAGGGACGCAGGTTGCTCGGTTTAGGAATCACAAGTGATTAACATACAGATACAGTAAGTATTTAGGAGGGCCTGAATTGCAAGGACTTGGGAGGGGGTGGCGGCGGCAGTCGGGGAAGGAGGTTAGAAGTCAGGAAGCTTCTTTATTTGTTGCGTGATATAAATATACTTGGCAGCGGTGTGAACAAACCTAGAGTACTGCGTACAGTTCTGGTCATAAGAAAGAACATACTTGCAATGACAGATTCACTTGGCTAATACTTGAGGTGAAGTGCTTGTCCTGTGAAGGCAAGTTAAGCAAGTTTGCCTATCCTCATTGATGTTTGAAAGAATGAAATGATTTTATTGCCACATTTGATTCTGAAATGACTTGATAAGATAGATAAAAAGTTGCTTCCTCTCATGGGGGAATGTAGAATAAGGAGGTCAGTTTCAGAATGTAGGGAATTTCCTTTAGGGCAGCAATGAAAAGACTGTCCCTCATGAATGTTTGGAATGTTCTACCCCAGACAGCAGCTGAAGGGGGGTCACTGAATATACACAAGGCTGTGATCGGCAAAATTTTGAATAAATAGCACAGCAGGCTAGAGGGGATGAGTGGCCTACTCCTGGCTCCTATTTCTTATTTCAGTAACATCAGCAACACAATACAACTACATAGATGGATCTGGACTCTCATTTAGAGTGGTTCACAAAGGAGAGTGTCTGAAGACAGTTCTCTCACTAGTGTAGGAGATTGGAGTAGCAAGCAACTGTTCCACCAGGGAACCCCATCAGTAAGGCGCATACATTAAGCTAGGCATCTCTGTCACATGCTCAAAAGTTCTTCTCAATGGCTTGATTTTGTGTATCTTGACATTCATAAGGACATGCTGCAACATCCAGGTACCTCAGCTCTAAAAATTTTCAATCTGTGGGAGAATCACATTGCTTCCTTAACAATTTGCTACTGCACAGTCAAACAATACAGCCTCAAAACCAGAACAGCAGATGACTTTTTCATATCTGACCAACGGTGCTCCCCTGCAGGGTAATGGCAATAGGATCCAAGCAAGGCATCAAGGGGAGGCAATGGCCCAGTGGTATTATCGCTGGAGACCCGGATAACATTCTGGAGATGCGGGTTCGAATCCAGCCATGGCAGATGGTGGGATTTGAATTCAATAAAATATCTGGAATTAAGAATCTAATGATGACCATGAATCCATTGTTGATTGTTGGGAAAAACCCATCTGGTTCACTAATGTCCTTTAGGGAAGGAAACTGCCATCCTTACCTGGTCTGGCCTACATGGTGACTCCAGACCCACAGCAATGTGGTTGACTCTGAACTACCCTCCGGGCAATTAGGGATGGACAATAAATGCTGTCTAGCCAGTGACATCCTCATCCCGTTAATGAATAAAGGAAAAAAAATCATCAGGAATGTGGTTTCAAACATGCATGGGTCTAGTTACTGTACTGGGCTCAAATCTCCCGTGACTTGAAAAAGCAACAAAAATCAGAAGTAGATTAGCTTTATCTCCTTCCAGCAGGAAATAGTGATCATACCTAAGGGCGAAACTTGCTTTAAATTGAAGAGATAACAGCAGATTATCCTGTCCCAGATAATGGTTACACTGTTTAAGACCGAACTCCTACAAAGTTTTTTTAAAGTAACTATAAGGCAGAACCAATGATGGAATCTTCAGCTTACAGAATTCTTTATTATGACGACACATTTCCCTGGGTTGCTTCAAAAATACTTGAAGCCAGAAGTGTCAGGCTGTCCTGAGGCTATAGTGCTTCATAAATGCATGACTTCCCTCCTAAACAATATATCAACATTTGAAAACACTAGCTAAAGATGGAACTCCTTTTCTTGTTAACTCCTACTAACCCTCCATTACTGTCAAACTACATCTATAACAATACTAGATCAGCATACATTTCCTCCAATTAAAGATTTGGAAGACTGAAGCCACTGTATTTAGACTGCAGTTGAAATGCTGTTCTCCAGTTACTGAGACCATCCCTCTTCCTATTAATTAGCATAGGCTGAACTTGACTACTCACAACCATAAGAATCTCATTGCATATATTCACCCAATTGATCTTGTTCCACCATCCAACAGGATCATGTGTGATCTGTAATCTAACTCCACATGCTTGCCTTCGTCCTCATTCCTTTCATACCCTGGTTAAAAATTGTTGAGCAATCTCATATTTGAAATTAAATTATCGTGCATCAATTGCCATCAAGAGAGTTCCAAACTTCTACTGTTTCTTCATGAAGTGTCTGCAAACTTCACAAGATATAGTTCTAATGTTTACACCACTCCTCAATCCGCAGAAACAGTTTTCCAAATCTACTCTAATTCCCTTAGTGATAAATCTTCAGAGAATCACCTTTAGCCATCTAAATTTCAGGAAATACAAGCCACGTGGAAATCTTCATCAATGTATCAAAGGTAGGTTGGAAGATGGCACGGGGTGTTTAGAAAGTGCTGATCACTGGGACACATAGCCAATGCTAATGGTATTACACTGGTGCTCCTCAATTGTAAGTAGGCAAAACATCATTTGTCAAAACTACATCACTGCAGAACACAACTTGCTTCAGCAAAGTGTAGAAAGTGTGAAATGACTTCCATATTTAAAAAAAATAAGTGAACGGAATGCCATTTCTCTGCCTAAATCTCCAGATTATCATATCCTACTGTATCCTCTCACAATCCTCCTCATTATCTTTGCATCATCCACAAACTTACTAATCACATCACCTACATTCTCTTCCAAATCATTTATAATACAAACAATTGGGGTCCCAGCAGTGATCCCAATGAAACACCACTACTCACAGCTCTGCAATCAGAAAAACTCCATTCCACTGTTATTCTGTCTTCTATGACTACCCCAGTTTCGTATCCATTTTACCAGCTTTCCGCAGATCCCATATAACTTCACCTTTTGTATCAGCTTGACATAAGGGACCTTGTAAAGGCCTTGCTAAAGTCCATATAGACAGCATACACCAACCACCCTTCCCTCGATCATCTTTGTCACTTCCCCAAAAACAAAACTCATTCAAGTTCGTGAGACACGACCTTCTCTATACAAAGCTATGCTGCCTATGGGAAATAAGTCCATACTTTAACAAATGTGAGTAAATCCTATCCCTAAGAATCTTCTGCAATAACTTCCTTACGCCTAATCAAGGCTCACCGGTGTGCAATTTACCAAGGTTGAGATGAGCAGACTCTTACCGGTCGGGGAAACAAGAATTACGGGGAAAGGCAGGAAAGGGGAGTTGAGGATGATCAAATCAGCCATGATCTCTCTAATGGCAGGGAAAATTCGAAGGGCTGAATGGTCTACTTATTATGGTTTAACACAAGAGAGAGATTGAGACCATCACGACTGTGCTAACTTTCTCGAGGTTCGAAACCAATGAGTCTCATTCCCCGGAACTCGGCGGCATCTTGTCCCTCTTGAGGTTTCAGATCCCCGGGGGAGATCTTGCTGCATCTGCTTCCAGCGCCGTTTAAGGCACCGCGGGCCCGATCACCTTCCCCGAGCCCAACAAACCCTCCCCAGCCCGACAATGAGCCCCCTCTCTCTCGCTCGCTCTCTCCTCCCAGCGCCGCCCGGGCCTTTCTCTTTCCCCCTGGGCCTCTGTCTCCGCCTGGGCCCCATTATGCCTCGCTGCGAGCCCCGAGCAACCACTCCGCCATATTGTGTAGGTCCCCGGTCTGTGAGGCTGGCGCAGTCTGCCGGGAGTGCCGAGCGGAGTCGAAGGGAGCGAGTGAGCGGGCGAAGGATTCTCCCAGCCCCGCTCCCGGGACCACACTCACTTGTCCTTTTCGGTGCCGAAAATCGAGGCCAGATACTCCGCCATCTTCAGCCGCTGGGCCCGCGCACCGGCCTCTCGTCACCACGTACAGCAGAAACGTCACCGCGCACTGGGGTAACGTCAAAAACAATCCGGACATGGGCCTGCACGTCACGTGGCTGCCGGCGGCGAGGCGGGAAAGCGGCACGTGACCAGTACCTGACTGGCTGGAGGGTCTCGGGACGTGGTGAGGGCTCGAGGTTGGGGCCTTGTCACGTGGCAGGGTGTGCTGGGGCCTACGGCCACAAAATGGAGTTATCGTGCTGCGCTGCTATGCAGAGTGTACCACAAACAGGATCCTATTGTCATTTGGAAAATGCTTTGTCTCTCACATAACTGAGTGACGTGGTAAATGAATTTCAGTGCTCGTATGATTCCAGGAACGTAGGCCGTATGTTCCAAAGACAAGTGGATTATATCAAACATCCCATTCCTTTGGTAGTTCCCAACAAGCAAGGTCCTGACCATACCAACCTGCCTGCACTAGCGTAACATAAAATACAGTGCCCAGCTTTAGAGATAGTTTCACGACTGGATAACATTTGCTAGGTAATTCTGAGTGTGCAAAGAATTACACTGACAATTTCTGTCAGGCCTGCAGTGTGGCACACTATTGAAAATACAGACATGAATAAACAGGAACAAAACCAAAGTTGCTGGAAAAGCTCAGCAGGTCTGGCTGCATCTGTGAAGGAAACAACAGAGTTAACGTTTTGGGTCTGGCGACCCTTCCTCAGAATAAACAGGTATTGGCAAAGATCTGTAGCTCGGGTTGTGGATGAGGTTGTTGACTTGCTCGCCGAGCTGGACTTATTTTTGTTCAGACGTTTCGTCACCATGCTAGGTAACATCATCAGTGGAGCCTCTGATGAAGCGATGTTATTCTACTCCGCTTGGAATTTATACTGTCTGGTCTGTTATAGTGACTACTGTCATTTCCGGTTTTGATCTGTATGCGGTTGTATATGGGGACCAATGCTATATGTTGTTGATTGAAGTATGAGTGGAAAACCATGCCTCCAGGAATTCCCATGCGTGTCTATGTTTGGCTTGGGCTACTATGGTTACTTTGTCCCAGTTAAACTGACGGCCTTCGTTGTCTGAATGTACCGATATTAAGGAGAGATCGTTGTGCCGCTTTGCTGCTCGCTGATGTTTGTGTATTCTGATGGCTACTTTCCTTCTTGTCTGTCCAATGTATTGTTTGTGGCAGTTGTTGCATGGTATTTTGTAAACGACGTTTGTTCTGCATATTGTGGGAATGGCGTCTTAAATCCCTACATCAGGAACATATCGGACTGACAACAAGACTCCTCAGACTACTAGGAATCATGGTAGCCCACAAGTCCATGGCCCCTCTACGACAAACACTTGCAAGGATTAAAGAACTCATTCCCACAACATGCAGAACGAATGTGGATTACAAAATACCGTGCAACGATTGGCACAAACATTACATTGGACAGACAGGAATGAAACTAGCCATCAGAATACATGAACGTCAGCTAGCAGCAAAACGGCACAACGAACTCTCCTTAATATTGGTACATTCAGACAACGAAGGCCATCAGTTTAACTGGGACAAAGTAACCATAGTAGCCCAAGCCAAACATAGACACGTACGGGAATTCCTAGAGGCATGGTTTACCACCCATACTTCAATCAACAAACATATAGAATTGGACCCCATATACAAACCCATACAGATCAAAACCGGAAATGATGGTAGTCACCATAAGGGACCACACAGTATAAATTCCAAGCAGAATAGAATAACATCACTTCATCGGAGGCTCCCCTGATGCTGTCACCTAGCATGGTGACGAAACGTCTAAACAAAAACAAACCAGCTCGGCGAGCAAATCAACAGCCTCATGAATAAGCAGGGCTCTGTACTTTGTAGAGTGAGAGATGTATACACACCGCTTGTTTCAACTGGACAAAATCTTGACATTCATTCACTAGTTCATTTCTCAGTTCAGTTCCCTGACAGAGTCAACCTGCCTGATTTAAAACTGAAACAAAACTTGGTAGTTTTTTTTGTATTCTCTTGTAGGATGTGGGTGCTGCTGGCTTGGCAAGCATTTATTGCCCTTCCCTTGTTGTCCTTGAGAAAGTGGTGGTAATCTGCCTTCTTTAACGAGTGCAATTCTTGGTACTGTAGGCAGACCAAAAATGTTATTTGGGAATGCACTGTCAATCATCATTGATTAATGCATTCTGCATGGCAACACCTCTACCATTCAGAAACCACTTGACAATCAGTCAACCTCATATCATGCAGTGTAAATGTTGGTTTTCCCCAAAGAATTCTTGTGAATTGTTCTGATGAACACAAGATGAAAGACTTTAAAAAAATGTGTTATTTTCAGCAAAATGGATTGCATTAAGTGGTTAACATAGACAGTCAGTAAGATGTAACAGGCAGTATGGATAACGGGGATCCTGTAGATTATATCTGGAGTTCCAAAAGGCATTTGATAAGGTTACCACACAAGTCAAGGTCACGTGGGGTTAGAGGTAATTTGTTAACTTGGATAGAGGATTGGCTAACCAACAGAAATCTGCATAAATGGGACCTTTCTGGTTGACAATGTGTAACTAGTGGGATATCACAGCATTTGGTCCTTGGGCCCCAACTTTTACCATCTATATTAATGACCTGGATGGGGGGATAGAAAGTACCAAAGCCAAATTTGCAGCTGACACTACAATAGGTGGGAAAGTAAGTTACAATGAAAAAGATTAGAAATTAGCAAATCAATATGGATAGGTTAGATGAATGTGCCAAATTTTTGTAGATGAAGTTTAACATGGATAAGTGTGAGGTTATCCATTTTGGTTGTTATCTTATTATCTAAATGGAGAGAAATTTCAGAGTGGTTCTGTGTAGAGAGATCCCTATGTCCTCATGCACAAACCACAAAAAAAACTCATGTGCAGATACCAAAAGTAAAAGATGGCAAAAAATAAACTGGAAAGTCTGTGACTTTTTTCACTGGAGCATAGGAGTTTGAGGGGTGACCTTATTGAGGTTTATGAAATCATGAGGGACATAGATAAGATGAATGAGAAGGGTCTTTTCCCTAAAATGGGGGAATTCAAAACTAGAGGACATATTTTTAAGATGAGATGAGAAAGATTTAAAAAGAAAATGAGGAGCAACATTCTTACACAGACAGTGGTTTGTGTGTGGAGTAAACTGCCTGGGAACATGGTGGATGAGGTTACATTTACAATGTTTAAAAAACATTTGGATAATTACATGAATAGGAAAGGTTTGAAGGGATATGGGCCAAACGCAGGCAGGTGGGACTAGTTTAGTTTGAGATTATGTTCTGTGTGGACTAGTTGGACCAAAGGGTCTGTTTCCATGCTCTATGTCTCTAACTACCTTCTGTCCTCTATGACCAAGCCAATTTTGTATCCAACTTACCAACTAACTCTGGATTTTATCTGACTTAATCTTTTGGACCAGCCTACCATGAGGGATCTTGTCAAATGCTTTAGGAAAGTCCATGTAGACAAAATCCACTGCCATATCGACATCAATCATCTTCACTAATTGCACAAAAAACTCAATCAAATTTGTGAGACTAAATTTCCACTGCACAAAACTATGCTGACTCAGACTTATAGTGCTGCGCAACATGGAAACAGACCCTTCAGTCCAACTCGTCCATGCCGACCAGATATCCTAAATTAATCTAGTCCCGTTTGCCAGCATTTGGCCCATATCCCTCTAAAGTTTCCAATCTTATACCCATTCAGATGACTTTTAAATGTTGTAATTGTACCAGCCTCCACCATTTCCTCTGGCAGCTCATTCCATACACCCACCATCCTCTGTGTGAAAAAGTTTCCCCATAAGTCCCTGTTAAATCTTTCCCCTCTCACCTTAAAGCTACACTCTCTAGTTTTGGACATCCCTACCCTGGGTAAAAGATCTTGGCTATTCACCTGCCTGTGGCCGTCATGATTTTATAAACTTCTATGAGGTCACTCCTCAGCCTCCGACACTTGAGGGAAAACAGCCCTAGCCTATTCAGCTTCTCTCTATAGCTCAAACCCTCCAACCCTGGCAACATCCTTGTAGATCTTTTCAGAACTCTTTCAAGTTTCAGAACATCAAGTTCTCCTATAATTTCCTTATCACTAATGTAAGTCTCACCAGTGTGTAATTTACTGGATTGTCCCTGTTGCCCTTAAACAAAGGAACACCATTGATTATTCTCCAGTCTTCTGGAATCTTGCCTGTTACTAAAGAGGATAGAAAAATCTATGTCAAGTCCCCAGCAATCTCCTTCCTTGCCTCGCTTAGTATCTTTGGATACGTCCCATCAGGCCCTGGGGACTTATCTCCCTTAATGTTTTTCAAGACACCCTCCACCACCTCCTCTTTAATATTGACTCACCCTAGAATATCAACATATACCTCCCTAATTTTACCATCACCCATGTCTTTCTCCTTGATGAATACTGAAGCAAAGTACTTATTAAGGACCTCACCCATTTCCTCTGGCTCCATGCATAAATTACCTCCTTTATCCTTTGAGTGTATGTATCCTTTCCCTAGCTACCCTCTTGCTCCTAATATACACATAAAATACCTTGGGATTTTCCTAAATCTTACTTTCCAAGGAAATTTCATAGAACATTACAGCGCAGTACAGGCCCTTCGGCCCTCGAAGTTGCGCCGACCTGTGAAACCAATCTGAAGCCCATCTAACCTAAACTATTCCATTATCATCCATATGTTTATCCAATGACCATTTAAATGC